TTATCTCCAGCATTGTGAAAATAAAATCCATAGAAGGACAACGTAAAGCTTTTTCTACCTGCTCTTCTCATTTGACATGTGTTGCTATGTTCTACGTGACTGTCTTGTGTTTGTATATGAGACCCCTATCAAACTATTCTCCAAAACAGGACAAGTTTTTTGCTCTTTTTTATGTAGTTGTGGTCCCTATGCATTTTTACCATTACCTATTACCATTTTTACCATTACCCATTAAGAGGCAGTTGTGCTTCCTCTACCCCTTCTCTGATGTGGAATTAATTGATTGGCTGGCTAGAAAGAACCTTCCATGTGCAGGCTTGAGGATCAATTGTTTCAATTTTCTCTGATGTAGGTGCCATTTAGCAAATAAATAGCAATGAGCTCTGGAATAGGTGTCTCTGGAGAAATGAGGAAAAAAATACACTCTCATAGGGCATTGGTTCTCAACCTTTTTTCACTTGAGTACCCCAAGGCAGCCTATTTCCATAAATTGTACCCCTCATATTATCGACATGTTTGTTAATTTATATAGTTAATATTTAAAATATATATGTTTTTCTCTGACCCAGGCTCCCCCTGCTTCTTCTCTGCTCCTGGTTCTCCCTGTTTTCTTCTGCTCCAGGCTCCCCTTATTTCTCATCTGCCCCAGGCACCCCCTGTGTCTCCTCTGCCCCAGGCTCCCCCTGTGATTCCTCTGCCCTAGGCTCCCCATGCATCTCCTCTGCCCCAGGCTCCCCATGCGTCTCCTCTGCCCTAGGCTCCCCATGCGTCTCCTCTGCCCCAGGCTCCCCCTGCTTCTTCTCTGCTCCAGGCTCTCCCTGTTTTCTTCTGCTCCAGGCTCCCCCTCTGTCTCATCTGCCCCAGGCACCCCCTGTGTCTCCTCTGCCCCAGGCCACCCCTGCGTTTCCTCTGCCCTAGGCTCCCCCTGCGACTCCTCTGCCCTAGGCTCCCCATGCGTCTCCTCTGCCCCAGGCTCCCCATGCGTCTCCTCTGCCCCAGGCTCCCCCTGCATCTCCTCTGCCCCAGGCTCCCCCTGCATCTCCACTCCCCAGGCAAACCCTGCTCTGTCTTAGACTTCACCTGCTTCTCCTCTGCTCCAGGTTCCCCCTGCATCACCTCTTCCCCAGGCTCTCCCTGCTTTTCATCTGTCCCAGGCTATTTCCGCTTCTCCTCTGCCCCATGCTTCCCCTGCTTCTCACCGTGCAGACAGACACACTGACACACATGCAGATACAGAGACACACATGTGGATGCACAGACACACAGATACAAACACTGACATACATACATACAGATACACACATAGTTACACATAAAATCACACAAAGACACAAACACTGACAGAAAACAAACACTGATACACATACAGATGCATAGACACACAGAACCAAACAATGACACACTCACACAGATACAGATATACAGATACACACACTTACTAACATGCAGATACATAGATGCACAGATACAAACACTGACACATACAGACACAGTAACAATCACAGAAGAGAAAATAGCCCAGTCAGTAAAAAAGGGAGACAAAACATTATTAGATACATACATGAGAAAAGGAAAGTAAAACAAGGATTAGTTAGATTAAAAACAAAAGAAGGAAGTTATGTAGAAGAGGATAAAGGTCTAGCTGACTGCCTTAATGAATATTTTTGTTCAGTATTTACAGATGAAAGTGAAGGAGAAGGAGCTCAGTTAGGAAAAAGGACAAATAAGTCAAGTGAGTTTACAGAGTAAGGGTTTCTATTTCAACTGTCAAAAGTAAAGACAAATAAGTTGATGGGGCCTGATGGAATACACCCAAAGATATTAAAAGAGCATAGTGGTATACTAGCAAAACCATTAATGGATTTATTTATCCGATCATTGTTAATGGGAGTAGTCCCAGAAGATTGGAAATTAGCAAATGTTGTGCATATTCACAAGTCAGTAGTAGGGAGGAGTCGGGCAACTATAGACCAGTAAGCCTTACTTTAGTAGTTTGGAAAGTAATGGAAACCATGTTAAAGGATAGGATTGTCGAACATCTAAAATCACATGGATTTTCAGGGAGATCATGCCAAACTAATCTTATTGATTTGTTTTGATTGGTTAACTAAAATTATAGATCAGGGTGGCGCAGTAGACATTGCTCACCTAGATTTCAGTAAGGCTTTGGAGACTGTCACACATAGAAGGCTTATCAATAAACTGCAGTCTTTAAGTTTGGATTTCAATATTGTTAAATGGGTTAGGCAATGGTTCAATGGAGTATATTCAAAGCATGGTCTTGTCACCAGTGGGGTACCCCAGGGATCTGTACTTGGACCCATTCTCCTTAATATTTTTATTAGTGATATTTCAGAAGGTCTTGATGCTAAGGTATGCCTTTTTGCTGATGATACTAAGATATGTAACAGGGTTGATGTTCAAGGAGGGATAAGCCAAATGGCAAGTGCTTTAGGTAAACTAGAAAAATGGCCAGTGTTGTGGCAACTGACATTTTATGTGGATTAGTGCAAGATAATGCACCTTGGACAAGGAAAGGTTAAAGGATCTTAACAGGTATAACTTGGAGGAAAGACGAGATGGGGGATATGATAGAAACATTTAAATACTTAAAAGGAATCAACACAGTAAAGGAGGAGATTATATTTAAAAGAAGAAAAAAATACCATAACAAGAGGACATAGTCTTAATTTAGAGGGACAAAAGTTTAAAAATAATATTAGGAAGTATTACTTTACTGAGAGGGTAGTGGATGCATGGAATAGCCTTCCAGCTGATATGGTAGAGGTTAACACAGTGAAAGAGTTTAAGCATGCGTGGGATAGGCATAAGGCTATCCTAGACTTAAGATAAGGCCAGAGACTAATGTGAGTATTTAGAAAATTGGGCAGACTAGATGGGCTGAATGTTTCTAGAGGGGCAATTTTTGGTCACATAAGATTAGGCACTCAGGCTCAGAAACGTTCACCCTCAATGTCTGAAATGGTTACTCCAAGCATCATAGCCATTACAGCGCGCTATAGTAATCAGGATGCTAGGAGTGACCAGGCACCCTCTTCCAGATAATAGGGCATCGAAACATAGAAACATAGAATGCGACGGCAGATAAGAACCATTCGGCCCATCTAGTCTGCCCAATTTTCTAAATACTTTCATTAGACCCTGGCCTTATCTTATAGTTAGGATAAGACATGCTTGTCAGAAGGGCATGCCATTTTCCAACAGTTTGCCCTCTTATCTGGGTCCTGATGCCAAACCTCCTTAAACAAATGGCAAAATGAGTTAAAAAAGAAGCCCCAGCTTTAAGCACCAAATGGAATTTGGTCAAACACATGGCATAGAAAAATGACTGCATTAACTTTTTATGCTGCACATTTGGATAAGATGGATCTTCACATGAGGAAGTCCATATAATGAGGATTTGTGTCCATGTGCTACAGATAAAACTGAAAGCCGGGTCATTTGGTGCTTGCCCTGTTTGAGCAGTGATACCCCAGATAGCTATGCCATGGAGCCCATTCGTATAATGAAAGATTATGGGAAAGACTTTGGCTCCATGGCAATTGAACTGTATGTGTGTGCTTTGAGCGCCATTCAGTAATAATGTGCGCTCAGATCTGAGCTATCTAGGGATAGGTTGAATGTACCTGTTTTGTGCAATGGCTGCACAGTTATATGTTTTTATGTGCTTCATTGTCTTTTGCTGCCATGTGTTCAATGGAGTTTTGCTTCTGCGTTGGAGATAAGTGGATTACATCCCAATTATCTCCAGGATAGAAGACTCTGTGGAACTGGTTTTGGGCAGAAAAGCCATGCTTCCTTTCGTTACAAAGGACTACGATCTATCTTTTGAACCATTGGACCAATTTGTATGAATTTGACATATGTTTATATTTGGAGTATGCTGATTCTGAAAATGTATGTTTATGTGAATGTGATGCATACTTTTCAAGTTATGAATAATGTGGAAAAATTTTATTTCTCTGCTTGTTATCAATTACCCATTGTGTAAGGCAATTGTATCACAGGCAGAGGGGAGGATTTTGTATGGGAGTGTCTGAGTGTATTGTGTGTGTTTATTGGTTGTGTTCCAAAACCCTGTGGGTGGTACTAATGTGTAAGAATGTGTACATAAGCACAATAAACCCACAGCTCTGGCTGTTCACTGCTTGACCCTCAACACGGAGCTTTGTCTTGTTCTTGGGGGGATTTACTGTATGCTGTTCCAGTTTGACTGCTAGGAGTGTAAACCTATTCGTATAGTTTTTCCTATTCGGCTGTTTACAGCATTCGTATGGTTTCCTGTTCGGCGGATTGGTGTTTTGCAGTAGCTGTGCCTGTGTCTCTGGAAGGGGAAGATCTCCTAAACGGCAGTTTAACCCTTTTATGCCTGGGGGTGCCGTTACAATTGGTGGCAAGCGGCAGGATCGTTCCTACAGCCAGAAGGACAGCTACAGGAGACACCATTCCGTGGATTTTACAATTTGAAGGCAACGCATGTCCCAGTACAGCAACCCTGACAGCACCAGGATGGAACCAGCAGTGGAGTACGATGAGGGTGTCATGGATGACCGAGATGCAGTTCGCAAAGGCATCTGGTACCAGGCACTGGGTATTGTGGAGTACCAGCGGGGCGAGTGACTCCCCATGGAAGACCAGCAATCGCAGAAGCGACTAGCTCTGCGGATGCCCTTCCTGGGAGAGCAGCCCCTGGATGAATGGGTGAAGGAATTGGAGCTCCGGGTATGGCAGGAGATGTGGCTGGAAGATGCCTACCAGGCGCTCTGGTGGTATGGGGAACAGTACCTGCCCTGGACAGCCGAGCATGACAAGCCAGAGGGAGAGAAGTTTGATGGTCCTGGCTTGTTATGGGAGGATTTTTCAGAGCCTGAGTTTGAGAGCCCGGTTCAGTGATCTCTTGGAGTGGAGGGAGAGCAGGTATGACTGGGACGACACTCATGAGATCGAGCAAGACCTGGTCCACCTAGTGACCCGAGAGATGGAGCTGGAGCAGGGCTACCAAGATCTGTTCCACTCCAGTGAGAAGGCTCAGCAGGGAAGCGGAGACCCAGATCCAGACCCATTCAGCTGGGTAGATATTGCAGAGTATTACTGGGAAGAACCCCAGGTGGTTGGTGGAGATGGGACCGAGGTCTCTCCACCGGTCCTGCAGGGAATTGGGAGCCCAGGCTCCATTCCCCAGCGGCAGGCTGAGTTACAGGGAGAGGAGAGCAGCGTCCTCCCTCCCCAGTGGCAGGGTGAGCTACTTTTTAGTTAGTTGGCTCAAATCCCCAGCGGCAGAGTAAATTGCAGGGAATTGGGAGCCCAGGCTCCATTCCCCAGTGGCAGGCTGAGTTACAGGGGGCAGAGACAGTTGGTCCTGTCCCCCAGCGGCAGTGTACCTTGCAGGGAGAGGAGAGCAGCGTCCTCCCTCCCCAGTGGCAGGGTGAGCTACAGGGATGCTGGGCAGTCGGCTCAGATCCCCAGCAGCAGTGTGAATTACAGGGAATTGGGAGCCCAGTCTCCATTCCCCAGCGGGAGATACAGCAGGGAATTGGGAGCCCAGTCTCCATTCCCCAGCAGCAGAATGTCCTACAGGGAATAGAGAGCCCAGTCTCCTTTCCCCAGCAGCAGGACTCTGTATTGGGAGCAGAGACAGTCGGTCTCCCTCCCTCGTGGCTGGAAGTATATATGGGTGAGGAGCTGGTTACCCCCTCTCCCCAGCGGCAGCTTAACGTACCAGGGGAGACAGTAAGCCCCACAACCATGCAGATGGGACCGTGGTCTCTGCACTTACAGCACAGGGGGTAGGGATGGTCGGTTCTGCCCCCCAGTGACAGGGCTGTTTAGCCAAAGGGGAGACAGTTGGTCTCCCCCTCCAGCAACCGAGCGGTGTAACCAAAGGGGAGACAGTCGGTCTCCCCCTCCAACAACCAGGCTTCAACCAGGCTACTCCCGTGGTAGCGCTGGCACCACTGGTCTCTGCCCACTCAGCAACCCACCAAGTCAGCTTACCAGTCACCCACACAGCCATGGTGAGGCACCTGGACATGGACAAAGTTCTCCTCTACCCAGGTGTAGTAACCATTTATTGTGGGTGGGCTGTATTACTGTTTGTGTGTTGTGGGTGGGCTGCTGGACTAACAAGGGCACTGACCGGCAGGAGGTCAGATACCCTGTTAGTCTGTGTGGAAAAGGGGAGAGATGTGACGAGACCAATCTCGCCACATTGCATTGGAGAAGCCTGGTTGCTCGCCTGTTGCCTTTGGATTATGGCCCCATGTTAAAAGGCTTGATTTTCCCCTGCAAAGACATGAAAGCCGGGTCATTTGGTGCTTGCCCTGTTTGAGCGGTGATACCCCAGATAGTTATGCCATGGAGCCCATTCGTATAATGAAAGACTAAGGGAAAGACCTTGGCTCCATGGCAATTGAACTGTATGTGTGTGCTCTGAGCGCCATTCAGTAATAATGTGCGCTCAGATCTGAGCTATCTGGGGATATGTTGAATGTACATGTTTTGTGCAATGGCTGCACAGTTATATGTTTTTATGTGTTTTATTGTCTTTTGCTGCCATGTGTTCAATGGAGTTTTGCTTCTGTCTTTGGAGATAATTGGATTGCTTCCCAATTATCTCCAGGATAGAAGACTCTGTTGAACTGGTTTTGGGCAGAAAAGCTATGCTTCATTTGGTCACAAAGGACTACGATCTATCTTTTGAACCAATGGACTAATTTGGATGATTTTGACATATGTTTGTATTTGGAGTATGCTGATTCTGAATGTACGTTTTATGTGAATGTGATGCATACTTTTCAAGTTATGAATAATGTGGAAAAAATTTATTTCTCTGCTTGTTATAATTACATTACCCATTGTGTAAGGTAATGTATCACAGGCAGAGGGGAGGATTTTGTGTGGGAGTGTCAGAGTGTATTGTATGTGTTTATTGGTTGTGTTCCAAAACCCTGTGGGTGGTACTAATGTGTAAGAATGTGTACATAAGCACAATAAACCCACAGCTCTGGCTGTTCACTGCTTGACCCTCAACACGGAGCTTTGTCTCATTCTTGGGGGGATTTACTGTATGCTGTTCCAGTTTGACTGCTTGGAGTGTAAACCTATTCGTATGGTTTTTCCTATTCGGCTGCTTACAGCATTCGTATGGTTTCCTGTTCGGCGGATTGGTGTTCTGCAGTAGCTGTGCCTGTGTCTCTGGAAGGGGAAAATCTCCTAAATGGCAGTTTAACCCTTTTATGCCTGGGGGTTCCGTTACAAATATTATTTTATGTGATATGAAATTATGTATCTATATTCAAGATGTTTTAAGTTTACTTTTTATTTTTTTTTTCATGTCTGATTTTTTATTGGAGAGTTTTGCATAAGAGTAAAATAACAGTGGGGATACAGAAAAAAGAAAGGGGGGGGGGGGGGGGGGGGGGGGATTACAGACAGGTTGGATTTTGTACATTTCACTCAATACAGAAACGTTTACATGGTGGGTTGTACATATGAGTAAGCATTCTGCTGCCAGAGTTCTTAATATAATAACCGTACAGTAATTTAATGTAAGTGTACATAGTATTCAAACAAGTGTATATAGTCTACATACAGAGAGCATCGTAGCATCTTCGGGTTTTACAGCAATGATTAGGACATGGCAGGTTTAGAGTGGAATGGAATAGACTGATCCAACATGCTGGGGCAAATTCAGAATGGCATATAACACCTGTAAGGTCCTGTGGCGCTAGATTGAGTTGAGGTACAGGTGCTAGAGGGACCGTTGATTATTGTTATTATTAGTGGTTCTTACTCGAGAACATGTGATTCTCCTATTGACGGTATAGTAGCGTCTGTATGCTGGGGTGTTAATAGATCAAGTCAGAAGCCATGGAGAGGTCAGAGTGGTGCTTAGTTTACTGTACCTGGTACAACATGCGTTAATAATGGCCTTGTGGTCATACAGAAGGTGGGAGGGAGCCTCTGACAGGGGGTTTTGTCTACAGACATACCATGTTTAGATTCAAATAGTTTGACTGGAATATTGCCTACTGGTATATTCTTGTGAGTGTCATATATTGCGTGAGGACAGTCAGTCCAGCCATAGAGCCGTGCTTTCCATTGTGCATTTGCTTAGACGATGGCCCTTTAGATTAGTCATTTTGGAGTGTTTGAGGAGTTGATGTATAAGAGGTAGAGGGGAGATAATGAATAAGAGTGAGATGCAAAGGGAGAGAGGGCGGGGGAGGCGAGGAGGAAGTACAGTGGAAACAAGAAGAGGGTAGAGAAAGGAGAGGGGGAGAAAGGGGAGGAACGAGAGAGAAGTTAGGTCATGAAGATAGGAAACAAGAGTCAAGAGACTTGAGGCCTGAGACCTGAGACCCTCACATCCGAGCGACCTTAAATGACGTCTGAGAGTTCACTCCATTCTAGAGACGGAATTTATCCCGAGTCGATGCGGTGTTTGTACGTGGTTTCCCAACCTTTCCATTGTTTGTTAAATTTGGTCATGTTCCCTTTTATGGCCCATTCCTTTTCTTAGCAGTATGTGGTGTTTATTCTGTTTAGCAGTTCTTTTGCTGATGGGATAAAGTCACTCTTCCAATGAGACGCAATACATAATTTTGCCGCAATCAGAGTATTAATTACAGCTGCCGTTGAGGGTAGTTGGTGTGCGTTCGGTATTAAATGGAGCAAGTAGAAATCAGGACGTAGGGAGAGTTGTAGCCCGGAGATGGTGTGTATGACGTTCTGCACATATTTCCAAAAAGTATCCAGGTGTGGGCATTCCCAGAAAATATGTAATATTGTGCCCCTACCACTATTGCACCTCCAGCATGTAGGAGCAGCCGTTGGATATATTTTACTCAACCTATCGGGCACTAAATACCATCTCATTAGTACCTTGAAGTATGCTTCCCATAGATTAACACATTTGGTGGATTTTTTGGTAGTTGTTATCGCAGATAGCCAGTCCTTGAGATGGAACCCCGTATCCAAGTCTTTTTCCCAGTGTAGCATGTAGGGTAATTTGGTTTCTTTTGACATGTTTAATTGGGCTAGGTAACACAATGAGAGGAATTTCGGCGGGGGGCGAGTTGTGCTCATGTTGTAGCAAGAGTGGCCTATTGAGCTTAGTATCGATGGGTCTTGATATTTAACAGTTGCAGTATGCAATATATGCTTGACTCTCAAGTAGAGGAAGATATCCCTATGTGGCAGGTTATGAGAGACCTGTAAGTCAGGGAAGGTGCGAAGGCCTTTGGAGTTATACAAGGAGAAGACATGAGTTAAGCCCTGGTGATGCCAGTGTGTTAACGACAAGTCTGGTGATAATGTGGATAGGACTCGTAATGGGGCCAGGTAAAGAAGTTCTTGCTTGGAGCAGAGGTTCGAGCTCCATGCTGTCCAAGAGTTCAGAAGAAATTTAGTGCATGGCAATGGTGGGTGGGTAGGGCATTTTTTTGTGGCCCACATAGTGTCAGATAGGGAATCAAGTTGGCTACATGCTTGTTCGAGTTGAAGCCAAATTGGGCTGGCTTTTCCTGACATAATGTCCAGGCTCTGTGCTAGCGTGGATGCTTTGTAGTAGTTTGTGATATTGGGAACGCTCAGGCCACCTTGATGGGTGGGGTTCCATAAGGAGTGAGCAGCGACTCTCGGAGGTTTTCTTTTCCAGATGTGCGCGTTGATAGTTGATTGGAATTTCATAAGAATCGATTTGGGAAGAGTGATGGGTAGTGTCCTGAAGAGATATAGAATATGAGGGAGCGCCATCATTTTAACTGAATTCACTCTTCCTATCCACGAGGTGTTCAAATTATCCCAGGATTTCAGTTGGTTGGATATTTTCAATAGGACTGCCTCATGATTTTCTTTTATAGTTTGAGAGTGTGATAGTGTGAGTTTGATACCTAAATACGTAACGGAAGTCTTGCGCCAATCAAAGGGGAATTGTAATTTCAAGTCAGCTGTGACCTGGGGTTCGAGATTTAGAGGGAGTATTTGTGTTTTACTGATGTTGTTTTTGTAAAATGACAAGTTACCATATGAGGCAAGAGTATACATGAGATGGGGAATGGCTCTTCTAGGGTTTGCTAAAAAAAGAATAACATCGTCCGCGAATAAGGCCAGCTTCTTTTCTCCTGCTGGTGTGAGAAAGCCTGGCAGTAAGGGGTCTTGTTTGATTGTTCGTATGAGAGGCTCTAGGCATAAGATAAATA